TTAAATTAATCCATTTCTATAAATCTATACCTTGCCACGTGGCTCGTGGCTTACTGGCATCTTCACATGCTGCTTGTCCTGGTGGCGGCTGGCAGTGTCTCCTTCTGCCTTCCTGTTCTTTCTTTTCTCCTCTCTGTTAGTCCCACCTATACTTCCTGCCTAGCCATTGGCCAATCAGTGTTTTATTTATTGACCAATCAGAGCAACATATTTACCATACAGAACATCCCACAGCAAAGAAGTGTGCAGGAGAGGATGTGGTCTATTTTGTTTGTTCAAAAGGTTATCCTGCTGTGTACTTTAGCGTGACAGTTATCCTGTGGCGTGTGTTTAGGCGCAGTGAAGACCAGAATGTCACCAGGATGCAATCCTGCTTTTAGGTCATTTACTCTCAGTCCAGTTGGAATCCTATATCCAACGTGTTATGATGAACGCACAGCAGAAGTGCTTTGAGTCCAATATTTTCAGGGCCAAAATGTTCCCGTTAGTTCCCATGTGACACTGCATCTTTCTCTCTTCTCTCTCCTCCTACTTCTCTGTCTTCTCTTTCCTTCTCTCCCCACTTCTCCCCTCTGTTATTGGTATGGGTTTTTTTTTATACTTTTACTTTTTTGGCACTTGACTCTTTTAGAAACCCACTACTCAGCTCCCAAATAAATAGAACACACAAAGACTTACTATTAGTTATCAATGTCTGGCCTTAGCTTGGCTTGTTTCTAGCCAGCTTTCCTTAATTTAAATTATCCCATCTACCTTTTGCCTCTGGGCTTTTTCCTTTCCTACTTCTGTATATCTTACTTTCACACTTACTCGGAAGCTGACATGTAGCTGGGTGGCTGGGTGGCTGGCCCCTGGCATCCTCCACTCCTTGTCCTCTTGCTCCTTCCCTCTGCATGCGGGTTGTGTAGCTTGGTCTGTTTGAGGGGCCCTTGGCACTGGGATTAGGATCCATCCCTGGTGCATGAGCTGGTTTTTTGGAGCCCACTACCTATGGTGGGACAACTTGCACAGTCTTGATGCAGGGGGTAGTGCCTAGACCTTCCTCAGCTGAATGTATCAGGTTTTGCTGATACCCCCCCATGAGAGGCTTTACACTTTTGGAGGAGGGGAAAGGGAGTGAGTGAGGGGAGGAGGCTGTGGGGTGAGCAGGAAGAAAGCTGAGATAGGGGATCTGAGGTTGGTATTTAAAATGAATTAAAAAAATTGTAAATAAAAAGAAAAAGTTTAAATTTAAACAAAGCATAAGAAAAGTATGCAACACATTTTTGCATCATTAAAACAAATGTTCAACAGCATAAACAAATGTAACACATCTTCAAATAATATTCCACAACACCCAATCCCTTCTTTCCTGTACCTCTCCCTGCCTCATCTCTCCCTCTCCTTCCCTTTTCTGTCCCCTCTAACACATCATTATCTCATACTGGCTTCTCATATTTTTTTGTTTTTTATTTTTATTTTTTGAGACAGGGTTTCTTTGTGTAATACTCCTGCTCAGCACATGAGAGCACTTTCTGCTCTTGCTGAGGACCAGGAGTTCAGTCCTCACCAACCACCACATGGTGGCTGGGGAACAGTGTCTGCAGGCCCAATGCCCTCTGGCTCTGTGTTTGGCCATCTCTCATGTTCCTCTAACTTTTCACCCCAGCTTCTCTTTTCCCCACTTTTCACCTCGTCCCTGGATAAAAACCATGTTGGGGGTGAGTTGAGTTTGTCTCCATGCTCAAGACCCCCTACCCTTCCAGCAGGACTCTGGACAGCCAGTGCCAAACACTACCAGTCACTGTGCCTTCACAGGGCTCAGGCTGCAGCTGTTGCTCACCAGGCCTGACCTTGGGAGGGTCAAGGCCTGAGCTTTGGGACTCCAGTGGGGATGGGGTTGGGGTTAGAAAGATGGAGGACTGGGCAGCTGTTCACTAAAGGAAAAGAGTGACTGACAACCACGCAGCCTTAAACCAGCCAATGAGACAGGTTATTCCTAATCCTGGTTGACCAGGGAACCAGAGATTAACCTGGCTTTACCTTTAGAGTCCCATGATGGAGAAAGGTAGAGAAGAGGATGTGTTCTGATTTCTTTGTTCAAAAAGTTAGGCTGCTGTGTGCTTTAGCAGGACATTATCCTGTGGCGTGTTTAGGCACAGTGAAGACTTGAAGTCCACCAGGATGTAATACAACCTTCAGGTCATTTACGGTTAGTCCAGTGTGGTTTCCTATATCCAACTTCTTTTTCTTTTTTCCCCAAGATTTATTTATTTGTTTATTTATTATATGTTCTAGATGTACGCCTGCAGGCCACAAGAGGGCACCAGATCTCTTTCAGATGGTTTGTGAGTCACCTTGTGGTTGCTGGGAATTGGACTCAGGACCTCTGGAAGAGCTGTTAGTGCTCTTATACATCTGGGCCATTTTTTCAGCCCCTGTATCCTATTTCTTATGATGAGTGCACAGCACAAGTGTTTGAGTCCAGTTCCTTTGGGGGGGTCTTTTTTTTTTGAGACAGGGTTTTCTGTAGCTCTGGAGTCTGTCCTGGAACTGGCTCTATAGACCTGGCTGGCATCCAGCTTGCAAAGATCTGCCTATCTCTGCATCTCCGGTGCAGTGAATAAAGCCCTGCATGGACACCACCCAGCGAGTCTAGAATTTTTAGAGCAAGATGTTCCCTTTAGTGCCCGTGTGACACTCAGTCTTTCTCTCTTCTCTCCTCTCATAACTCTGTCTTTCTTTCATTCCCTCCCCATCCCTCCTCTTCCCTCCTTTCCTTTCCATTTGCCTTCTGCATCTCTCCACTCTCCTTCTCCTTTCTGTTCCGCCTACCCACCTATGTATCTTAGGCTGGTTTCTTCTTTATTTTGATTTTGAATTTTTTTGTTAGTATTTTGAGACAGGGTTTCTTTAACAGTCCTGGATGTCCTGGAACTTGCTTTCAGACTAGGGTTGCCAAGAACTCAAGAGATCTGCCTACCTCTGCCTCTGCTTCTGCATCCCAGAATGCTGGGATGAAAGGCATGGCTGGAATCATCACCCACTCTTCAAGGTGCTTGCTCCCTAGAAAGGTCTTTCCCATTAACCTTCAGTTTCCAGGAATAGACAGGATAAGGTTCTCTGAGGATCTATTTATGTTCAGTAGACAGAGAATACAATCACCAAAGCTGAGTTCTTTCTATATGTGCTTTATTAGAGGGTGCAGTGAGTAGTGACCACAAACAGGCAGGCAGGGATGGTGTCCCAGTAACTGAGGTGACAAGTCTAACACGCAATGCCTTTGTTCTCCTTGTTGTATGGAGCCTGGGAGAAGCAGATGGCGGCCTCACGGTCACAGTTGCAGATGAAGGCCTCACAGGGGTCGTTTTCGTCTGGAGAGAAACAAGAAAGGAAGTTGAGTGGAGCCCATGACCCTGCTCCCTATTTTCTATGGCCAAAGGACCCAGTGGCCCTCCCATTGATGCAGCTATGGTCTGAAAGACAACGCACACAGAAGTCCATTGTGTTGTCCAAATTGCTGGAACACACTGATAATATGAACATTAGTTGTTGTGGCTGAGGAGATGGCACAGTTGGTAAAGTGGTTGGCATACAATCATGAGGGCCTGACCTAGGATGCCCAGAGACCCTGTAAAAAGCAAGGTGTGATGGGGCATCTGTAACTCTGTTGGGAAGTGAAGTGAGGAGCATGGATCCCCAAAAGTTGTTGCTCATTCAGGCTAGTTAAAGGTGAGTGTCATATTTAGTG